AGTAAGAAAGCAATTTTTACTGATTCTGTGGTCTAATCTAGTAAATGAATTAAGAAGTTGTAGGCCAAGTGAAAAGCAATGACTTTTTTACAAAGTGAAATTACTCCTAGAGATATTGCTTCCTGCAGGACCCATTCTAGGTTGTGAGGTGACCAAAGGCCAGACAAGGGGATAATCATTCCATGTTCTTTGACTGAAGATGGTCTGGTCCATTTTCTACGCAGGAAACACATTAAATTATTTGAAATTTCTATGAAAATTTATTCTCTAGTGTTTTATTTAAGAAAACAAATTCATCATTATCAAAAGAGGCAGTATTTCCCATCTAATAATATGGTTTTATATAAGAAAGTAGATTAATCCCACCTAAATTTTTATTGCTTGCTATTTTTACATCATCTGGTTTACTTCTTTTATTTTGATTTGATGCACTTGGACATTCATTTCATTTCAATAACAACTGAATCAAATCTTAGAGTTTACTTTAAATGAAAACCATTTCAGGGGCGCCTGGGTGGCTCAGTTGGTTAAGCGACTGCCTTCGGCTCAGGTCGTGATCCTGGAGTCCCGGGATCGAGTCCCGCATCGGGCTCCCTGCTCGGCGGGAAGCCTGCTTCTCCCTCTCCCGCTCCCCCCTCTTGTGCTCTTTCTCTCTCTCACTCTCTCTCTCAAGTAAAAATAAAATAAAATCTTTAAAAAAAATAAATAAATAAATAAATGAAAACCATTTCAGTAATTTCAAAACAATGTTTCAGGGTCATGATAATACTAGTTTTTGCTGTCTCAAATAAATGGGTTTCAAACAAGTTGGTTTTGTAGTCATTGATAAAGCATAGGTAAATAAATAAATATCATTTTATGATTAGGTACATAAAATATTTAAGATAGTCAATTATTTATGTAACTCAAATTAATTTTGAGCTAAATGTTTAAACTCACTGCATTAATACTAAAATGTATATGTACAAAACATGGGTAGACACACACATACACACATATATATGATCAAACTTTAAATATAAAAATACATGTGATTCTAGTTTTTTACCTCATGTATACTATGGCTATAGATCATTTTATTTTAATATATATTTTTATTTAATATGTATTAATGAAGAAATATACTACACTTTTTTAGTCATTAGCAATGAGAAGAACTAAGACTCATCTATTAACCAGATCTTTTTTGGTGGGCATGGAAACGTGTGTTGCATTTTTTATATGTCAAATTGTTTGCTTTGATTGGTGGTAATAAAGTATTAAAGTATGTTTTAACATACATATATTCATTTTTTTAGATTTTATTTATTTATTTGAGAGAGAGAATGAGAGAAAGAGAGCACATGAGAAGGGGGAGGGCCAGAGGGAGAAGCAGACTTCCCGCTGAGCAGGGAGCCCAATGCAGGACTTGATCCTGGGATTCCAGAATCATGACCTGAGCTGAAGGCAGTCGCTCAACCAAATGAGCCACCCAGGCGTCCCTATATATTTGTTCTTACTGGAATATCCTTAGTTTCACCTATACTCATCCAAATTACTTCATTTTTTTTTTTTTAAGATTTTGTTTATTTTAGAGAGAGAGAGCACAAGCAGGGGGAAGAACAGAGGGAGAGGAAGAGGGTGGGGAAAGAATCTCAGGCAGACTCTCTGCTAAGCATGGAGCCCAAGGAGCTGGATCTCATGACCCTGAGATCATGACCTCAGCTGAAACCAAGAGTTGTACCCTTAACTGACTGAGCCACTCAGGCACCCCCCAAATTATTTCTAATATACGGTTTATCTGGTTTGTAAGATAACAGAGAGTGCACCTTATTTAGCACAAGTTAAATACAAATTATAGAACTCATTTATATGAAACGGTATTTGTTTTACAAATGTATAGGGCCAAATTTTGAAATCTTAATGACATCTATCTCTTTTATTGGTTAACCCAGGTACGTTGATGTGAAAGTACATTGACATCAAATTCACTGCATTGGACACTGTTGCTTGAATCATTCTTCACATGTCCACACAAAGCCATATTAGTTGTGAGAGCTTCATGATTTTTTAATCATTCTATAATTTACTAAATGACATCTGAACTTCAGCTTTAACATATTTTTCTTCATAAAATAGATATTTCTTCAATATGCTTATTAATTATGTACTGTTTTGAGGTGAAGATGAGAGTGAAAAAATATATACTATTTTATTTTTTTCATTTTTTATGCTTATCTATATGTATGTTCAATAATATGTGGGTATAATTTAAAGCCTATATTTCAAGGGGAAACTATTCATTTAAATATAAACAAAAATCTAAGAACATGTAATAATTGATTTGTTATCCATGGAACAGGATAAATTGATCACAAGAGGTCAATTTAAGTATGTTACCATTCCTTTAAATGTAATGAAATTATGTTTCAAGGATTGCTTTAGCAGCCTAATAATATATACCTTGGGTGCCTTTTCAAGTAAAAGAAGGCAAACTGGGGGGCTTTACAATACCAGACAGGTATTAATATACCAATAATCCATGACCTGTCTTAATACTCCTTATATTGTGTTTTAAAACCATTAATATTGTACAATATGTCCTTCATCTCTAATATATCCAACTTTGCCCTTGAGTCTTAATACTTCTTACATTATGTTTTTTATTTTATTTTATTATGTTATGTTAATCACCATACATTACACCGTTAGTTTTTGATGTAGTGTTCCATGATTCATTGTTTGCATACATTATGTTTTAAAACCATTAATATTGTACAATATGTCCTTCATCTCTAATATATCCAACTTTGCAAATGAATCATAAAGAACATGAATATATTAATGAAATATTATATATTATAAATACTACACTCCACTTTCATAATTTATTTGGTGCTATCTTATTATTACTAATTGTTATAATAAAAATAATTTTTTCCCATTTTTTAGAGTCTACATGGGTGTTTTATTTGCCCAAAAGAAATTGATAGTACATATTATTAAAAGAACTCACCATAAGAGAATCTTAATATTTTACATTTCCCTTTTCTTAATTTTAGCTGTTCCCTTCATCCATAGCCTTCTGTTTCTCTCATCTCATCCAGCCCAGGGGTTATGATTAGAAATGAATTATTAAATTAAGAAGGAAGCAATGCTAGTGGGCAGGAAGGAACATTCAAGTCTCTTCAATTGAAATCACCTGTTACGGGCGCCTGGGTGGCTCAGTCGTTAAGCATCTGCCTTTGGCTCAGGTCATAATCCCAGAGTCCTGGGATCGAGCCCCGCGTCAGGCTCCCTACTTAGCAGGGAGCCTGCTTCTCCCTCTCCCACTCCCCCTGCTTGTGTTCCCTCTCTCGCTGTGTCTCTCTGTCAAATAAATAAAATCTTTAAAAAAAAAAAAATCACCTGTTAGATGAAAAATGAGAAGGCATTCCTCATTCTACAGCCTTTTCTGGAATGTCAGTTGATGAATCTGCTTGGAAAAATATTTTATAAAGTTCATGATAGTGTTCCAGCATAAAGAGAATGAACTTTTTGAAAAGGTGTCTCAAAATTTAACAGGGTGATTTGTTTTCTCTTTCTCTTTCAATACACAATTCCTCAGCAATTCCGGTTGGTTTTATCTTCCAAATCTATCCAGAATACAAAAATTCTTATTATCCTCACTACTCCCATTATGGTGCCAACCTTTACTGTCTTTGGCCTAGACTGTGGCAATAGCTTCCCAGCCAGTCTTCCTGCCTTATCTTTGTTCCCCCACCCCTCTCCTGCCACAGTACCATCTCAGCATAGTAACCAGAGTCATCTTGTTGAAGTGTAAAACAGATTATGTGACTGTTCTGTTCAAAATCCTCCGGTGCTTTCCTATCCCCTTGAGAATAAAGGTCAAGTCACCCAAGTAAGCTACAAGATCCTGTGTCATATGTTCACCCCCACATAACTAACTGCCTTACCTCTGCCATTTACTCATTTGCTCACACTACTCCAGACACATTGGCCCCCTTCCTGTTCCTTAGTCACTTAAGTCTTGCTACCACCAGAGGGGAGCTCACTACTAAGGAAAGCTTGAAATGTTCTCCTAGATATCTTCTTGGCTTTACCTACTTCAGATTACCCAAATATCAACTTGATAGTGAGAATTTCCCTGACTATCCTGTTTAAAATTGCAATTCTTCCTAATGCCCACCATTCCTTTACAATTTTCATATTTTATTTTTTTCTCTACCAAACTTAAGACTTTAAATACGTAATTATTTTTTTATTTGACTTATTTTCTGCCTCCCAATAGAAATCCATCTACATGAAAACAGGAGCTTTTTGTCAATTTTGTTCACTGCTGTAGCTTGGTAACTAGAACAATGCACATAACAGAGAGCTCAATGCATATTTGCTTCAAAATAAATTTTGAAAAACAAACCCGTAAGGTCAACTACATGAAAGGCAATACTTGTATTCTATCAGCTTGACTGCAATCAGCAAAACTGGTTCTTGTCAGTAAATATAGTCAACGCTACCATAAAATAGAGATTCTCAGTATTTCTTTATTGTTTAAATGAAATCATTATCATTGAATCAGTTTCCCACTAATGGAGACACTAACATTTAATAGTTGCATATTGTCTTATAATTTACTAGTTTTTTTTTTTTTTTTTTTAGTGGAGGAAAAACTAAACCTTTATTTTTTAAAACTGAACCACTAGGAAAATATATCACAGCCTTGAAACACCAAACACAGGCTATATTATCATTTCAAGTAATAAGCTGGTAAAAAGACAATAAGGTCCTTATCAAAATTAAAAGGTACTAGAACTGGGGCAGGAACACTGCTTGCTGCAAAGGTCCCAGGCAAAAGTGGTATTTGGTAATGGGGGGTTGCCCCTCTTTTCCTTTAAAGGAATCACAGCTCACCCCTGATTGCCTACTTTTTCTCCTTTGACCTTCCTGTTGCCAAGGGATTGTCTCAATAGGGCTCTGTTATTTCAGGGGGCAAAATAAGCAATACTGAGCTTAGGCCTTCATTCCATTCTGTTCTATAAAAACCAGGTTTTTCCACATCCAGTATTTAATAATTCTCGTAATTAAGAAGACAACAGTTCCTCCTTCAATGTTCATTCCTGGATACTGGTATATAGTGCAATAAAAACCCCCTTTCCCTTCAAGGGAGAGTGTCACTTCCGAGATTGTCCTGTTGCTCTTCTGCAGATAGCCTCAGGGCCCATCATGGCAGCCAGTGAGAGGGAAAGTCTGCTTCCCATACCCAGTGTAACATCGCTTGTCATATTTTTACACGGTCTCCTAGCTGAAAGATGTAATATATATCTCAAGAAATGTATATCCACATCTTGATGGCCAGGAACAGATATCCACAAGAACTGTTCAAAGTTCTTATCCGACTACCTCTCCCAACTCCACATCTTAAATCAACTTCATGCCCTTGTATATAAAACAAAACCAAGCAAAACAAAGACCCAGAAACCTCTCTTCCCTTTTAAATTAGTAACCTCGTGGATTTTGTTTTACAGCTTATAGGAAACGATTTGATGATCCTTCTGGTAAACAGGAGGTTGGCAACAAACAGAAACACCTCTGCTTACACCACCAGATCATAGGGAGGTTAGAGGAAACTGCCAGCCTGCTGGTAGCTGTGTACGGAGAAGAATCTGGTATCTTGGAGGGCTCTGGCTTGGTACAAAGGAATCCCTAGAGCCAGGACAAGCACGTGAAATTTAGGCTATCAAAAACTTTCCTGTGACCGTCTCTAACCCAAATTTTAGCACCAGTTTTTTCCATTTCACTTTCTAGGGTTGAAACATAAAGGAACCAGTATCCAGAGGCAAGTGACACATGCCTCACACTTGCTGCCATCCTTAATTTCTTCATAAACTTCACTTAAAAGACCAAAACTCCCATTTCTTTTTAAGTAGATTCCTGCTGTCAGCCCTGATGGCCAATTGCGAAGACTTCTATTTCCCAATGGACAAGAGAGACTCCTTCATCTTCTTGGTCATGGTCGGGATGAGGTGCATGTGGTCATCCACACACTTGGTCACACAACTCTCCAGCTGCCGTTTCACCTGAAGCTCTTTACTTCCCGCATCTATTGAATCTTTGGCTTTGTCATTGCAATGCATGGTGCATCGGGCCAGGCGGTCCTGGAACTTCTCCAACTCACTGGTCACCAAGGCCTGGGCTTGAGCCAGAGGCGCATGGCAGCGTTCAATGCACTGATGAACCTGCTGCATGGAGGCCTGGCTGTCCTCACAGCAGCTGGCACTGCACCTGAACATGAGGCCCTGCATCTTCCTGATGTTCTCTCTCTCCAGACTCTTCACCATGGAGTCCACCGCCTCCTGTACCCGCAGCTGCTGCATCTCCGCCATGGCGACCCCGCGCTGCACCCACTCCGCGCCGGCGCCCGCATGGAGTCTAATTTACTATTTTTACAGGCATTAACTTCCATGCAAACCAATTATTCTACTTACAAGTATTGCTATTGGCATGTAGAATTTTAGAGGCTCCAAAGGAATTGCAACAGAATTAAGGTTGGGAAATAGAAAGAGCAAGGGAGAGAAAGGAGAGGGAGCTGAATAGGCATTTATTACCAGTACCGAATTTCTATTACTACTCCATCCAAATAATACTGAGAACAGTGGCAGGGCTTGTCTTAGTTGCCTTATTACTATGTCATGAGGGGAAAACATATCACTGGACAAATAGTCATGGGTAACTAATTTTGGACTGGGCAAGCTAAAGTGCTATAACAAATAGACTGGAAATATAGTGTCTCAAACAAAAGAGAAGTTTATTTTCTTATTGCTTAAGAAACCAGAGCATGTTGCAGGCCAGCTGGAGGTAGAGCATGGGGGTGGTTTTACTTCAAGCAGACTGATGACTGCTCTGTCATTTTCAGTAATTGGCTTCTGAGATTACTCTCATCCTTCTCATTGATATCCCATCTTACCACAAGGGGAAAAGAACATAGAAATGGCACATATCACTTCATCTAATACTGTGTTATAGATAACTTAGTACCATAACCACACTTAACTAAAAGGAGGCCAAGAAAAAAAATTTAGATAGTCAGCCAGGCACCCAACTAATAAATGGAAGAAGGAGAGAGTGGCTTCTGGAGAACAGCTAGTAGTCTCTGCCACAGTGTGGCCTTTTGCCCACCAAACATCCGTGCCATCCTTCCTTCCACGTTTTCACTGACCTCCCACCCCGTGCACCAAAGGAGACAATACGAAGTGCTACTCCTTTACTGCATGTATCTCACGATGTGTGCTCTCTGCATGATGCCCAGTCTGCTCCACTGGGGTCAGAGGCATCTCATGTTCTGGTGACCAACCAAATAACAGACACGTTTTCTGCCTTCTCCATCACCACAAAAAATGTACATTGAAGCAAGGACAGAATAACTGCAACACAAACTCCAATACAAAAGTAGAACAATGGGGAACATACAAGAGTTGCTAGTCTAAATAGTGATAGAATCCTGGGCAGGCATCATGAGGAACTTTGCCATGGCACTGAAGAAAATTCTTTGATTGAATCATGTCTCTTTCCCTAAAAGGAGCTTCTGTGCCCGTGGTTCTTTGTGGCCTCTGGCTTTGTTCATGGAAGGTTTTGTTCTTGTCCATCATCCTCTATGATCAGATCTAAAGTGGGTGCCATGGCCTGTGCCTTCACTGTACACTGTCAAATACTAGAAGTGAACTTCCTTTGGATGCAAGTTCGGGGCCCTGAGGACCATTTTGCAGTCTGAAGAGTCTGAAGAGTCAGGGTTATTAAGAATAGAATAAAATTCTCTCAAAAACTCCCAAAGTTTCCAACGTATTTGCTTCCAGTCAATGTAATGCAGCCGTAATCACAAATTACTTTCCTAAACATAGTTCTTAAACCTGCTTTATTTTTCTCACTCAACTTAATCTTAAGGGCATCTGAAACAATACTCCTGGATATAAGGACAACAGATTTATATCTCACTGTTTGGGGTCCAGAAGCTGCTGAGTGTTACAAATACCTCTGTGTCCTTCCATCCTTGTTTTAAAGCACTCAGTACTTGACAGTGTAATATCTTGTTATAGCAGTGGGGGCAGTTATAGTCAGTAACATTTTGGCTGTTTCCAACTCCTTCCCCTCAAGCTAGAAGCTAAGCAGGTACATGGTCTGCTTTCCAAATATCAGAGTGATAGTCTGGTAGAGCCACTCAGCCAAATACCCAGCTACCATTGAAGAAAAGCAACTAGGAGTCACCCAGAATACCCTACCTGATATTATAAATTGCAGATGCATTGCATATTCTTTAATTGCTTCAATATTGTTGCATTTTAAAATTACTCGTAATCTCATTGAAGGTAGTAATGGAGTCTTAAATTTTTCTAATATCTGTAACACAGTGTAACACTGTTCATTTTATGAATATTTATTGATAATCTTATGCTTTAAAGAAACACAAGCTATTTTTTTATAGCTGCCTGCGATCTTTTCTGATTTTCCTATCCCATTTTAATCACTTTATAGACTAACGTAGGATAAGACAGAACAATTAAATTTTAGTTTGAATGTAGATGGGAGCAGGGAGAGCACTTTCTCCATATGTATATGTTGATTTTTTCTTTATAATTCATGCAACCAAACTACTATGTGCCAAGCACTGCCTACTTAGGATACAATGGTATGTATGTGTGTGAGTGTGTGTGTGTGTGTGTGTGTGTGTGTAAGTATGCATGTGTGCTTTAAGATTGACTTTTAACAAATATATTTGAAAATTAAGGTAGAAATCAATGATCACTAATTGAAACACATATAAATTTCCACTTTATATAAATAATCATTCAGAAGATCATTGAAATACTTCTGTTAATTATTCATCGAAACTTTGTAGAGTGTCAATACATCCAAACTAATCATACCACAGATACTGTTCAGAGATTCTTATTAGCACTTAGTAAATGTGACTCTTGATCTGGGATTTTTTATGTTAATTATGATTCTCAGTTATCTAACTTTCTGATAAGGAGCTAATTGGATGGTTCTGGCAAGTAATGTCCAATTGAGGAGCAGCTGCAAGGCTAGGGACCTGACATCAACTAAAGGATGCTCAAGACTAAGCCAGGAGCTCAAAGATAAAAGCAAATTGTAAAAGAGAAGAATATAGTTTAAACTCCTCCTTCTCTGGTGAACAATAGAATCTATCAATATGATTTTTTTTATTAAAAACTATATGGCATCAGGCAGGATGAGAATATATGACGCATAGCATAGCTTCTACCACCAACATCTTACCAAGGCAAATAACTTCTCTCCTTAAATCACTAACCAGTTCCAATAACCTAAGAAATTATAAAGATACTAGTTTTAGACATATCTACAAAGTATTTATCCATGAGTAATTTTAAATTACAACCCAGTGTTCTGAATATTACTTAAAGATATATCAATAGCCACTATAGAAACAATCAATTTCTCCCTTATTTGCCATTATTTGTCCACTACCTCAGCTTCTAAATTGGTATATATTTGTCTTTGGTGATGAAAGTAAGCCCTTGACATTGATAGGAAATTTGAAATATAAAGAATTTTTGACATCAATTAGAAGCAATTTTGATCTGTTATATCAATATCTACTGGATGTCAACTGGAAGACAGTATCTGGATATCAGGGTCCTGGAGAAAAGTCATTAAATCAAAATGTTTGAAATCATTCCAAGTAGGGCTGAGTCTACTGGGAATCAGTTTTTTAACTACATTTTTTTTAAACACTGAATGATTAAAACATTGGGAAATATATTATATTTTAGAATGCACTACAATCTTCTATTAGGATTCTCATCTAAGCCAAAAGCGAAAAAAATTAAAATTCGACCTTAGTGTTAAAACTTCAATTATAGAAAATGAATAAGTCTTGCAGATCTACTCTGTAACACAGTACATATAGTTAACAACACTGTATTGTATAGTTAAAATTTTGCTAGATTTTATATTAAGAGCTCTTGTCAATAATAACAATAATAATAATAATTAATAGTTATAGTAACACAAGAAGACAGGAAAAAGCTTTTGGAGGTGATGATATGTTTATGTCATAGATTGGCGATGGTGTATACTTATTCATGGGTGTATATGTATTACGAAACTCATCAAATTGTGTATACATTAAATATGTACAGCCTTTTATATGTCAATCATACCTCAATAAAGTGTTTTTTAATTCCAGTATACTACTATAATATTTATTAAATCTGATCACATAATATAGAAACATAATAAAATTAAGAATTGCATATGATTGATTACTCAAGATAAGCAAATGGTATACATTTGAGAATTAAAACATGTCTTAAATTGTCACTATTTTAGATAGAAATAGATCTAAGTTATATTATTAGGAGCCATCTTTTCCCATGCAGAATATGCCAAACATTATTTAACTGAATCTGTATAACTCAGGTGGGTTATGTTATTTATTAATTAATGTCCTGAATCTGTCAAGTCAGGAGACAAAACCTGTACCTATCATTTTAACAGTAAGAATTTCATATATGGGATTGTTAGGTATGTATAAAGTTGTTGGATGACTAAATAGAGAAAAAGAGAACTGCCACTGCAGGAAAGAGCTACCTTCCGTAGGACTTAGTGAATAAAGGAAATAGGGTGGATTGTTAAAACCTAGAAACTTGAAGAGGGGTGCCTGTAGAACTGAAACTTAGTCCTCTGAGGAGGGGGCACTTGTTTCCTGGCATTGGTGTTCCTCAGCTCAGAAAAGGGACCATGCTGAGCTGGCAACACAGACCTCTGAGATATAAATAATCATACATAAATACATGGATGAGAGGTATTTGACACTGTAAAACAATAGGTTTTTCTGTCTTGAATTAAAATAAAAAAAAACTTTTATATCTATACAGTATTGTACAGGACTTTGCATATATCAAATTACATCAATTCTTGTAATTTGTGAATTGACAAGAAGCATTTAATTTGGGAAATATTATATCAAAATTAAGTATAAAGCAAGTAATTATATCTGTCATATTCATGTCTATTAAATTGCTGGTTGATAATAAAGCAATCCTGTGGAAGAGAGAACTAAAATTCTAACTCTTTAAAGTAAGCATTTGTTTCTCTCCTGCTTAAAACAAACAGCTTTCCAATGAAACAATTCTAATCCTATTTATACTTACATTTAGAAAGAACTCATTATATTAACAATGATTAATAGAGTTAGAAATGGATTTCACAGAGATTATTTCAGTAGCTTTTTATAATTTTATCAACAAACAAGTTTTTTTTTTTAATATTTCCTGGTGGTAGCATGGAGAAAAAGAAACATTACCCATGTATTTTTATCAATGTAGAGGGTTAAAAATGTTTAAAGTACTTCTTACCTATTAACATCCCAGATTTTGCTAGTTGTATCCAGTGAGGAAGAAGCCACAAAATCACCACAGGAGTGCCACGTGCAGGACCATACTGCGTGGTTGTGTCCTTCAAAGGTCAAAATGCAATCGCCTTTAGACAGGTCCCATAATTTAACTGTAGTGTCACCGCTTGAAGTAGCCAATTTGTTGCCACTATTTGCAAGAATATAAAAAGGTAATTTGTTAAAAAGTCAATTTATGATTATTTTTTATGAGTGATTATATGCTATCAGTAATTTGAGTGTGTGTATATCTGAGTTGTTTTTGCTTCTAATGACATACTAAATGCTTGAATATTATTTGACTCCATACAATTAGATATTTATTTGTATTGTTTAGTAATTCAAGTTGATGAGACAAACCGCTGTTGCACACTTTCTAAATTAATTCTTCTATATTCTTTTAGATTAATTCACTAAGTCACTAATTTTTTTTTTTAGCATGTATTAGTTTTGGGGCAATGCGTTAGGTTCTGTGGATAATGTAGCCTCAGAATGATGAAATTTTAGACATTGGCTAAGGTAATTTCAAAAACATAATACAATACAAAACAACAGGTCAGCATTGTTTATGTTTGGATTAACTAAATGCTCCAAGAATGCAGTTTCAATGCTGAAAGAAGTGAACCGGGAATGAGATTTTGATCTAGATCTTGAGAGAGGAAAGACTTTGAAAAGTTGAGTGGTTGAGGATGAGTCATTAGATTTTCTATTTAGGTCATTGGTAGATGTTTAAAAAAGCAATGACTTTCAAGTGGTGGACATGAATGCTAGTTTAAGAAATGAATGGGTGTTAATGACATGAGCAGAAACATCTAGGACTTTTTGATAAAATATTAATTCCAAGAAAATTTTAATTCCATCAGTTTCTTCACATCCTTCTGTATTGCATGTTCCTTCTATGTGTTCTCTTAGTAACTTTTCTTTCCCTGAATATAATGAATTGCTTATTTGTACTCTTTCCTTGTGATTTTGATTGAGAACTGTTTCTTCTGTTTCAATGGCATAAAGTACTAGGATTGACTAATTGAAGTACTCAGCAAATGCTTCCAGAATGAATAAATATATGAGTGAATGAATGAATGAAGTTGTGCCATAAAAGAATAAGGAAAGGTACTCAGTATTTCCAAGAGAGGGAATGGCAAGATCAAAATGAGTGTTTGCTTACTTGCTTCTTCTTTTTTTTTTTTTTTTGCTTCTTTTTATGCTGAGAGAAATACATTTTTAAGTGCAGGGGAGAAACAACCACTGGAGAGGGAGAGCTTAAAGGTGGTGAAGGAAAGGTGGATTATAGAGTGAAGAAGTTCTCATTAAAGTTATAAAAGGATATCCATTTTACTTTTCAGATTAGCAGAATTAAAAAGAAATTACTCTGACAGGTAGTCCTTCACTAATAGATAGATATTTAAAACTGTCTTTTACTTTGCAGCTGTTGTTTATTTGTACATATATTTGCCATCCAAAATTTTAATTTTTAATACTTAATACCTAAAAATACATGTGTCTAAAAATATCCAAGCAGGAGTGCCTAGCTGGCTCAGTCCATAGAGCATAAAATTCTTAATCTTGGGGTCGTGAGTTCAAGCCCCACGGTGGGCCTAAAGCTTATTTAAAAAAATATCCAAACAAACATAAAAATCAAAAATAATTTAATTTTGCCTATTTCCCAAATCCATCCTTCTGATGGGCTATCATGCTATTATGGGTATAAGTCTTGCTCTAGGATAAGAACTATGGTAATGTATTTCTGTCTGGCTGAAAACTCTTTCAGATGAGTTTTACATTCTTCTCTCTTGCTTTAAACTGTGTGACGAAAGAAACAAAAATCACAATAGTAATAATTACAACTGGAATGAAGCATTTGTAATCATCTTTATGAGTACCATCAACTGATATTTAATCAACAATAAACAATATTCCATAAGCTTTTAATAAATTGAGGTTGTTGCTTAGATGTATGAACTCAACCAAACCCAAAATATATAGAATATGAATTTCTGAATTTCTTTGAAATGTTTTGGCTTTTCAAAAGACATGGTTTGAAATATGTAAAACTGTATGCTTTTGGCTCACAAGAAAATAAAGTCACTTGAGGACTGCGAGGGAGCAAGAAAGAGAGAAAGAATGATGAACCAAAATTCAAAAGGTGCTCTAAGTCATGCAGAAGTCAGGGTTTCCCTCAGCTCCACACAAATAAGACAAGTCAAAATCCTCAAAAAAGAGAAAAAGTAGATCCAGATTGTTAGCAAGTACACTAAATCATTCTAATTTACATTTGGTTAGTTTCTCATTCTGGCTCTTCTGGACAGCCTGCATGACCTTGGACAGGCCATTTAACATTAACACTTAACATTTCTGAAATTCATTGTCTTTATTTAAAAATAAAGCTCAATATAGCTTAAAGTGTTGTTTTGAAAATCATAACAAGAGAATTCTTATGACAGCACACTTTTAATTTTGGTTAATATTCAAACTTGATACTGTTTTTAAAAAGATTCTCTTATGAGTGGGCGGAGCAAGATGGCAGAGGAGTAAGAGACCTGGATTTCATCTGGTCTCAGGAATTCAGCTGGATAGGGATCAAACCATTCTGAA